AAGTCAGATTCCTCAGACATGTTATTTCAGGAGAAGGAATAGCAGGCGACCCCACAAAGGTTGAAGCAGTAACCAAATGGAAGTCGTCCACCTTAGTCAAGGACTTGCAGGTTATTATCAAAGGTTTATTTTAGAATTTCTCCAAGATTGCTAAGCCCATGACTGAGTTGTTGGAGGAGGAAACTAAGTACAATTGGACCGAGGATTGTGAAGCCAGTTTCCAGGAGATGAAGAAACGTTTGGTTACAACCCCAGTGCTAATTTTGTCGAATGTACGCAAGGATTACTAGGTATATTGTGACGCTTCTCGTCAAGGACTCGAAGGAGTGCTCATGCAGGAAGGAACGGTTGTAATTTATACCTCCAGATAGCTACGGCCTCACGAGATAAATTATGCCACACATGATTTGGAGTTTGCAGCCGTAGTGCACGTGCTCAAGACCTAGAGACATTTCCTTGTCGAAAACAGTTGTGATGTTTACACGAATCATAAGAGCTTGAAATATATTTTCACGCAGAAGGACTTGAACCTCAGGCAGAGAAGAAGTTGATCAATGATTATGACATGAGATTACACTATCACCTAGGGAAAGCAAATGTTGTAGCAGATGCCATGAGCCGTGCTATGTGAACACCCTCATAGCAGGAGGATTACCGCATGACTTATGTGATGATCTCGGAGATCTCCGGTTGGAGATAGTTCCGAGAGGATTTGTTGCCGCCCTAGATATTCAGCCTAAGAGTTTTCGTGAGGATGAACAAGGAACCATATGGTTTGACGATCGCATCTATGTACCCAATAATCCAGAGATCAGGAAGTTAATACTTCAGGAGGTGAAAGTGCAACTAATCCATGGGTGGTTTTGGTAATTCATAACAACATATAGCTCATTGAACCAATATCCATTCAAGTTAAATATTTTAGAAAGTTCAATGATTGGCATGGCATGGAGTAGAGATGTGGACCTCTCAAAATGCTAAGGACAAAGATTGGCAAAAGCTCAAGACTCTTCATTTTCATTTTAGTGATCCAAGATCACATTGAGTCCATAGGAAAGCCAATACTATTAAAAGAGGATGAGTTGTTGCTTAATGGTCTACTTGCTCAAAGTGCTTAGTGATATTGCTCCAAAACCCTCAACCACGTTCTCATCTCCACATATGTCCAAAACCCAAAGTCAAACTCGGCCCCACCGATTTGATCTATCTGACGCCACCGAGTTCAGTTGACATAGCCACTGCCAAAAACCCTAGACAATTTGGTCTCACCATATGGATCTCGGGCTCACCGAGATGGCATTGCAAACTCTTTGTTTCCCCTCCTAATGTTTCGGTCTCACCGAAATGAGCGATCGGTCCCACCGACTTCGCATTGCAAACTCTCTGTTTCCCTTTGTAACGTTTCGGTCTCACCAAAATGAGCGATCGGTCCCAATTTTGCCTGACCAACTCTCTGTTTGCTCATTGCTGAAATCGCTCTCACCAAGTTCATGCAATTGGTCTCATCGAGATGAGGTTTTGCCCTAGCCCTAGCACATTGGTCCCATCGAGTTGATCATGTCGGTCCCACGGAGAGTGACTGGGTATATATACCGCGGGTTGAAAATTTGAAAATTCGTCCAAACCACTCGACCGTGCCTCCCAGCTCTATCACCCCCTTGGTCTCCGGATCATCGCCATCGTCACCAGTGCCTCATGCCGCTGGTCTTCGTCACCGTCGACGGGATTCTCACCGCCGTTGCCGCCGTAGCAAATCCATCGCTAAGTTAGCGTACGGATTTGACACATTTGTGCTTTCCTTAACTCCGATTCTTGCACAAAATTCATTGCCTAATTTCTTTCCACTAATGATATAATTCTATCCACCGAAAAATTCCATTATAATAGATTTGATGCAAAAAACTTAGGGTTAGGTTTCCGCCGAACTCATCTCGGACCACCCGGGGATTACTTGCACTTTCAGGAGGCCCATGATTCATCGTACTCCATACACCTAGGCAACACCAAGATGTATCTGGAATTGAAGGAAACTTGCTGGTGGACAGATATGAAGAAGGATTGCCGAGTATGTAGTAGTATGTGATGTTTGTCAGCGAGCAAAGGCAGAATATCAGAAACAGCAGGGTTACTTCAACTTTGCTGATTCCCGAGTGGAAATGCTAAAAACTTGGGATGGATTTTATCACAGGATTACCCAAGACTCGTTCAGGTTATGCTTCCATCTGGGTAGTGGTTGATCGCTTGACCAAGGTAGCTCATTTCATTCTTGTGAAGACCACATATACCAGTGCTAAGTTAGCCAAGATATACATGATCAGGATCGTATGTCTGCATGCAGTGCGAGGACATAAAGAAGAGAACGATTCTTGCGGGTAAAGTGCACAAGACTCTACAGAGTGGAAATCTAATCAATTAGTTGTGTCCCTGGTTACAGACATCTGAGCCTCTGGAATTGGATTCACACGGAACTCTCGATACCAATCATAATTAATTAATTGTTGGGTTATTAATGATTTCGGGTATGAGACATTGGTGGAACCACCTCAATAACAACAAATATTTTGTAGTAAATTGCAAGCAAGTCCTTTTGTTGTAGGGAAAAAATGTTTTTCGCAAAAACTTAAACTTAGAGCCCCACAACCAAAATTGCATATAGAGATAGCATTTTATTATTATTTTCCCTCTATGACTTGCTGGCATATTCAAAATGCCGACCTACACGGCTGCAACGTCTTATCTTGCAGAGAATTATTCCGACCAGGAGTGAGGCTACGATCCACGCTCGGTGATTGCCCTTTGGAGTTGGATGGACTCGCTTTTCGTCCACGCTTCCGCATTAGTTGGCCTTCGGCCGAATTTATTCTGATGTAATAAAGACTCTATATGAGATTCGTGTAATAAATCAGCTGTGAATTTTCATCGATGTACTGTGTGTGCCAATATGATCTTGGGATGGTACAGATACACAGAGACTTGGCCATTTTCGGGTTGGGTCACTACATTGAAAGATGTGCCGAGATCGGTTTACTTTAGTTAAATTTTTAACTGTGTTTTAGATAAACTTATTATTCGTGGGTGAGTCCGAGATCTTTATCCTTGGGTCGTGGTTTGTAAGCCTATATATAAATGCACCAATTGAGGTATGCAAAGTTAGATTGTTTTATGATGAATTAGATAGTATGCCTATTTCTGGGATGCGACGTGTATGATATGACAAGCTGGTTCTATACGATTTGTCCTCGTTATTCCTTCGGATCGAGCGGTTGGCGTGTTGTTTTTGTGGAATTTACGAACATGTTCGTAAACCTATAACAAGCTTTGTTTAAATGTGCCCCAATCTTAAGTGTCCGAAACCAAATGACTTCAGCAAGTTTAGTCATGGACACACTGTTTTAAATAAATTCCAGTGTTCGGTGTTGTCATACAGAGAACATTACTGATGCATTTTTTTCAACTTGAGTATGGGTTCAAGAATTTGGTTGTGTCGCACATAGAACGTTTTCAGAAAAATGTTTCAATTTTATGATCAGCCCAATATGAATTTTTTTCTTTTGCGGAAAGAGCCCGATATGAATTGAGTGTGCTCGTTTTCAAAAAATAATTTTGATTTTGATTTCGCAAAAAAAATAATGCTAATTTGAACGACCAAGCATCCTTAGAGGCATCCAGCAACATTTTAATTTTGAAGCACTGTACTATCTATGACATGCACAGTGATGGTGCATATAGGCACTGACCAATAAGTACATCACGGGATGGGCGAGATGCACATCAGTCACAAGTGCGCTTTACAATTTAATATGAGTACAAGGATGGTATGGGTGGTACGGTGGCCGTGGGAGGCATCTGCATGGATACATTGAAAACTTCTAGCCAAATTCATGTAGTAGGCACAATGTCCAAGAGCCAACACGACGGACAGCTGATCAAAGAACTTTGTCGTTACAAACTACTGTACTTTATGAGATACTGAACGCGATGACAATCTGGGTCTAAATCTTCCTCGTTTCTTTTTTCTCTTTGCGATCAGAATCCTTATTGTTTCTAGCTATACATTCATTCACGGCCTAACAAAGCATCAACGTGTTACTACAAAGTCCACATCCTGAAGAACTTTATATCTGTCGCAAAAAAGAAACATTATATGTTCGGTACTTTACCTTTTTTATCTCAAGAACTTTATGGTATGTTAACGAAAGTTGACCAGCTTTAAAAAAACGAAAGTTGACCAGACTACATCATATAACTAAAAACTACGAGTAGTTTCACAAAAAATCTGCTCATCCCGTGGTAATGTGCATAGCAGATAAGCTTGTGGGATTGGCCTGCCACCTGTAGGCGAGCACTGGGAGGGAAAAGGCAGCATGCGATGCATAGGAGCTAGTGACAAAACGAATCTATAGCCCATGGTCCCGCATGTGGTCACATCGAATGAATACGGCTGGATATACATAAGGTAGAAAATCATGTGCTAGTGGAATACATGCATGGCTGACACCACTATTACAGCAAGCTCAATAATTTGCATCTAGCTCTGTAAAAACACATACAATAGAAAAAAAGATTGAGAAGCTTGCATCGGCTAGAAGTATCATCGTGCATGCGAATAATGCAAAGCATCACCATAAGAACATCTTCACAAATTCAGAAACAATATCAAAGTATCAATCAGAAACACACAGGTCACTTCCTAATGTTGTGACAACAATACGAACAAGTGTTCCAGCTTGATGCAAGAGCAATCCAATCAGCAGTGTACCAGCATAAGAGCAAGCCAATCTTAGACGGGCACACACAAGGGCAAGCAAATCAGTGATGTGTCACCTTCAACTTCAACCTTGAGCAGTGTACCAGCATTTCTAGGCTTCTACAAGAGCAAAGAATGTTCTCAGCACTGTAACAGGGTTACAGAGACATGCATGCAAGAAAAAGGGGCCAGGAAACCTCATGCTCTAATTCACTACAGGAAAAGGCATGTACAACTCACCTATGACCATCTTTCATGTTTCCCTGCCCGAATTCCTAAGTATGTTGTTTCCGGTTGTAGCAGAGATTGCTTGAGTAGCTTTTTTCATTCTTGTTGTTTTAGAAACCTTCTTTCTCTTCAGTGTATTACTCACTGCACCTTCTGAAGTACTGCAACCAGTCTCATGGTTGGTCACCTGAGTTCCAGTAGTTGTTTTGTTGGGATCCACATTCTCGCTATTGTTGAAAGACACCTGACTACAAACACTAGAAACCTACAATTGGGTAAAAACAAAAATCATGTATAGTTATACATAATATGAGCACAAAACCAAAACTATGAGCTATGATAGTACCTTAGAGTGCAGCACGGTAGTACGATCTATTTGCATAATCTACATAAAAAAGAGTTCAGAATAGTTGCATATACAAGAACAGGGCAAATGAGATAGCAAAGTGTCATGTATCATACATTTTTGCGTGGCCATGGAATACACCTAGCTTGGGCATTTCCTAGCTTGTTTATTTTCCCTTGTGCACGAGGCAGCTCAGTTGTTTCTTTGAGCACGACGTTGATAAGAACTTCAACACAATCAGCTAGTGGTTGGCCATCAATAGCTTTAGCTTTTCTATCAGTTTTCTGAATGGTTCCCATTGCCACCACACTTGCACTATTTGGCGACGTCAAACTAACTTCCATGCCACACTTTATGGTATCTTCTAATCCATCCTGTAAGTTGCAATGGTACTAAGTAACCCTTCTAATTCGCTAGTTGGTTAATTAAGTTGAGACACATATAGAAAAAATCACCTTTGGTCCATTTTGGAGCGGTGTTTGAAATATTCCTGGTTTCTTATGTTTAGTTGTCTTTGTCTTCTTTGGTTTTGGCACAGGCGCAAGACTTGGTAGTGCTGATTCTGTTGTCTTTGATTCCAGTTGGGATGCCTTCACCAACTTAGAGTAGCCATTGCCTTGGAGCAGCCTTGGAGCAGCCATTGCCTCGGATGCCTTGGTAGTATATGAAAGTGAAGTTGCTTGTTCTTCGTCATTCATGGTTTCCAAGTCCTAGTATGTGGAAACTCATATTTAGCTACTAGTAAATGCTCAAATAATGTGACTGAATATAAGAGATGAAAACAAGAATCACCTTAGAAGGTTCTTTATTTGGAAGCTCCTTTTCTGGAATTCCTCCCATTTCAACAGACCCCCTAGAAGCTATGATCAAACTTTTTAGCTCATTGTACTGTTCTGCCATTCTCTCACTCTTGGCCATCATTGAAGTTTGATTTGCCACCAGAGTATGCACCACATGCCGAAGCTCCATGTTCTCTTGTTTAGCAACATGTAGTTCAGCTTCAACTTGAGCAAGGCGCTCCAAAGCGACTCCACCTACTAATAGACCAAGGCCACTTGGCCTTCCTTTCTTTCCTTTTGGGAAAATTGATGAATAAAGATCACCATCACGGGCCTCCTCACCAATCAAAGAAGGATCTTCCCGAATCCTTTTTTTAATTTCATCCTGAAAGGTTCGTATAACAGTAGGGTTGCAAGCATGAATTTTGTGAAGCACTAGCAGTATCAAGTGAAAGCTAACTAGGAATATAATAGAACAGAGCACTATGAAGTGAACTACATACCATTTTTACTTCGCTTTGTTGGTTGACTGGATATCCATTGTTTTTCGTATGCGTAACCACGTAGAGCTCGGCACGCCCAATTTCCCTACCCTCTACCATCTCCTGAAGCAGAGATGAAATGTTGATACAATAGTTACACAAGTTAAAAAGGACAAAGACACTAAGGCAACAAATCTAGACAGCAAATCTGTCCACAATTCAGCTGTGTACATATGAGAGGCAGAATAAGTAAGGTCAGCCTTCCTCGACACAGCAGTGTGGGTCCCGTTGACACAAAGAACAGGGCAAATGAATATTATGGGGTAAAATAAAACAAGGAATATTGATTACCATTTGATCAAGGACAACTGCAAAACTTCGTGACCCAGCGGTGTGGGTCCCGTTGCATCCCTCGGGTTGCGATGCCCGAGTGGCTTTGTTTCTCTCAGATTTTTCCTGGGCACACAAATATGGTGAAGAAACTCATAACAAGCTTATATGTGGAACACATATTTAGCATAGGATACAAAACTACACCATTGAGTACTCACCTTAGCTTTCTCTGTTCTCCAGTGTTTTACTAGCCACTCCCACTGTCCAATTGGAATTCTATTATCACAACCATTAAGAATATTCCGTGCCCGTGACAAATCAGCTTTGTAGTATTTCCTCTTTAAAACAACCTTGAAGTCTTTCCATTTTTTACTAGCTGATCTCAACACCCATCTTTTGTATGACTCATCAATGTTGAAAAAAGCCTATAATAAAATACAATTGTGACAACTTGTTCGTTGAAGAAAAAAATGACTTGTTTGTTGAAGATGCAAATATATATGTTAGATTGCGTTGACATACCTGGACAGAACCCCACAACTTTTCTTTCTCTAACTTTGGTACTTTGCTCCAGTTTTGAGCAGCTAAGGACATTTCTTTTCCTTTCACTAGGGTTCCAATAAAATTTGTCAGCTTGCAAGTCTTCAAACCACATGGCTGACCAAATCTGTTGAACTTCAAATTGATCTTGTTATCAACATCATGTTCTTTCCAGAAGCGCCTCATGTGAGTAGGTCCTCTTCTAGTCTTCTCTACAACTTCTGGTATGTGAACAGATAGGAACTACCATTAGGCCCATGCAAAACAAGCACATGTAAATTCTTTTATGCCCTCAGAACTAACCATGTGTTTTCTCCTGTTCTTGTCGAACTTCCTCTTCTTCTTCATGTTCATCTTCTTGTCCAGACTCACCTTCTTCATCTTCCGATTCAGTTTCATCACCATGTTCTCAAACACATTCTTCTCTATGTGCATAGGATCCAGATTATGACGCAATAGAAGTGTTTCCCAGTATGGCAGCTGAAAGAAGCAACTTCTCTTTCTGAATATTGAAGTGTCTTGCTGCATGCTTGCATCATTCTCATCTACCTGATTACGGTGTCGCTTCCTGCTGCTCTTCTGCTGCAGCTTCCCATACGTAGTTTTCATGTCCTTTGTCAATACTGAAATGTCATGTGATGAAAGGGGAACGGGAGGCTCTCGATGTTCCTCAAAACCATCAAATGACTCAGCATCAAATCGAAACTCGTGATTAGGTTCCAAGAATCTGCGATGTCCCATATAGCATTTCTTGTGTCCATTCTTTAACCAAAGAGAGCATGTCTCTGATAGACAATGGGAGCAAACTGCTATATTTTCTCCAGACAAAGATCCACGCCCAGGCCAATCACTTATTTCCATAGTAGTGCGGCACGTAAGAGAAACTTCTTAGATCGAGAGGCATCATAAGTCCAGACTCCATCATTCCAAAGCTCCAAAAGATCATCTATGGTCAGCTGCATGTAAACATCCATGTCTTTCCCTGGAGATTTTTTACCAGGAATGATGACAGAGAGGATAAAGTTTGATTGCTTCATACAAATCCATGGAGGAAGGTTGTAGGGGATCAAGACGATAGGCCATATGCTATATGAGAGATTCATATTTCCAAAAGGGTTGAAACCATCAGCTCCCAATCCAAATCTAACATTGCAAACTTCTGAACTGAAGTCTTTGTGAATAGCATCAAAGTGTTTCCATGCAGGTGAACCAGCTGGGTGTCGTATCAAGCCGTCCTTTGTGCGGCCTTCGCTGTGCCACCTCATATCTGATGTCGTCTTTGTAGAAGCGAACAACCTTTGGAGTCTCTTCTTTAGCGGGAAATGACGAACCACCTTTTGAGGCACCTTGTGGACACGCCTTCCATCAACTCCAGTATTTACGCTCTTCCATCTACTTGTGCCACACACTGGACATGATATGGCATCAGCATGTTCCTTCCTAAATAGAATGCAATCGTTTTTGCATGCATCTATACTATCATATCCAATACCAATGGCTTTCACAAACTTTTTGGCCCCATGAAAATTTTTGGGCAACGCCTGACCTTCTGGAAGTGCCTCCTTAATTAGCGTCAATACCTCATCAAAGCATACATTGCTCATTCCCCTCATATTCTTGATATGAAGCAACCTCACCAAAAATTGCAGCTTCGAGAATCTTTTGCAACCTGGGTACAACTCTTGGTGTCCATCATTAACTAATCTATAGTATGCCTCAGCATCATCGTCCAAATCATCTTCAGACTCTTGCTCCTCTCCTAAAGTACGAGTATCGTACATTCCAAATCCTTCTAGTAGCATCTCATCCATCTCATCACTATCAGCATATTCTTCAAACTGTGAACTAGGAGCAGTAATTGCTTCGGAGGGCCGCATACTTTCTCCATGGTGAATCCATATGGTATATCCGGACATGAATCCATCGCAAATCAAATGATCATAGACTTCATGCTCACCTAACCAACGAGAGTTTACACATATCTTGCAAGGGCAGAGAATCCTACTATTTTTTGCTGACTCACGGAAAGCAAATTGTATGAAGTTGCTAGTTCCTTCAGAATACTCGGCGGAAGACCTTGCTGCTCGCATCCAACTCCTATCCATTCTCAACTGAACAAAACCAAGTTCTTCAACATGAGGTGCTTAGAAGAAGTTATGTAACATACTAAAGCAGAGGCCACATAAAAATTCTATAATAAATATTTGAATGTGAGCAGAAGCAAAGAGGAATTTCTAGAAGCAGTGTCAGTTTAACTAGCAAAAATAACAAATCAACTTTCGGTTGTTCCTTGTCGTTGTTGCACACTACTTCTGGGAGTACAACTAGCTTATTGTGCAAGTGCCAGTAATTAGTGTTATATATAGTACTAAGCTACATGTATTGATCAGTTCAGTGCTTCTCCAACAATAGTCAAACTGCACAATGTCGTGCCAAAATGATTGTTCATACAGAACATCTAGCACAAACACAAAAGGGAAGTAAAATGAAGTAGAAAAATTCAGGGGCATTACCTCAAACACCTTGTGTGCACCGGAGCGTTGGATCAAGAACAGCAACAGAACGTGGGCGAGTCTGGCATGGGAAGGATGAAGCTGATGCGTGCGAGGCCACCTTCTTCCTCCTCCTCCTCCTCCTCCTCCGTCGCCTCCTCTCTGGTGCCTGGATATCCCCTCTCCTTTGGGTCTCCTTCACTCGGTCACTGCAATCCCACCGCGAGATCGCGAAGGAGAGAAGAAGAGGTCCAGCGCGGGATGGCGTTGCCGGCCGCGGCGCCCTGCGGCAGCTCCGGTGTGGGACACCGGTGGCGGAGGCTCCGGTGGCAGCGACGACGCCCCAAGCGGTCGATGCGAGCAGATCGAGTCGATCTTTTGTTTTTTATTTTTTATTATTTCGATGGTCACCTATAGAAGACAGAGGTGGGAGGGTTATTTTGCAAATAGTCTAAAATCAAGGGTCAAATCTGTATAATAAGCCAAGCATTGGAGGCGCTATCCACCGGAACGCCAGCAACAATCGGAGGCATTTTCTAAATTCGCCTTCAAAGCATGTGAGCATCGGAGGCACTTTCTCAAAGTGCCGTTAGTACCATGATTTTAAGGCATTTTAGGAAATCGCCGCTAATAAAATGCCTCCTAATGACGTACGTGTTGTAGTGGTGGAAGTGGCAACAAACCTGAGTTAGCTAGCGACGTCCTGACTGCTGAGATGGCAGATGATGCCACGCGACTTCGGCACTCACTTGCTTCCGATCTATGGCAACAACATGGATCTATGGCAGCAACATGACAAAAATTCTGGACCTGGAAGCATCCATGGAGAGAAAGAGAGAGAGAGAGAGTCAGGTGGTGGCACGCGACGACGCCGGCCCCTTGTCTCCAGCCGGTGATGCTCACGACGAGGCCGATCGGCCGTGTCCAGCCGGTGCAGGCCTCAGCCTTGAGGCAGAGCGATAGAGGAAAAATCGCTTGTTGTTGGTAACAAGAACATACAGAGAAAGCTATTTTTACGTGGAGAAAATTATAATCATTTTTTTGGATAAGCTCACGACCAGAAAGCTGTTGTTAACCACAAAACAAAGTAATTAAATAATTAGTACTAAACGGGTCGGGTGGAACCTCGTCTAACCCGTTAGGATTCTGTTGGCCATCTAGCGCGCTTAGATGGGCACATGGGATGAACGGTGGATTCTTAGGTGGTAACTACCACTAGGTGGTATAATCTATTTTCCCTATATATATATATATATATATATATATAGGACAAATGTTTCCTACAAGCAGTGGTAGTTACCACCACTTGCATTTTGTATGTTGTATGTAGTATCTGTCAAAATTGAGAGTATGTACATGTAGTATGTAGTATATAACAATGATTAGGTAGTATATATACTAATTTTTAGGTAGTATATACCATGTTTTGAGTATGCTCTTTTTTACGTACAAATATGTACGTATTTCACAAATATAACAAAAACTATGGGTTCATATGCAATTTTTTCATGTAACTTGCTTTGAAATATCTTATATATAGTATATGAATATATTTAAAATGATAAAGTAGTATATATAGTACCACATGGTAGTATATGAGACATATGGGGTAACTACCACCGGGTGGTAGGATGGATTTTCCCTATATATATATATATATATATATATATATATATATATATATATATATATTATTCTGTTACTCTGTTACGCGTACCAGAATATTATTCTGTTACCCTGTTTGAACTGATGAATTCAAGCGGTTGAACTGATGCTTTCTGTTGCTATTAAAAATCGTCTCCTTTAGTTCAAATTTTTTTGCATTTTTTTTTCAAAACGGGGCGTGTAATATATCGTTGGAAAGCTCTTGACATCCACATTACAATCTTATAATTTGTTTTTGCAAAAAAATTATGATTTAAGAGCAGTTTTGGAAAAACCATTTTTTTCAAAACCGAAAACGCGGATCGTATTTTTGACTTAATTTTCAAACGATTTGTCGGAATTGAGCCAATGAGATGGCGTTGGAAAGCTTGTGAAAATCCGCATCTTCCATATATCTACTATTTTTTAAAAAGCTATATGATTTAAAAGTAATTTGAAAAACGATGAAATTCTGGGCGAAATGTTTTTTTACTGTTTTTCGCAAACGGTTTATCGGATTGACGCTACTGATACGGCGTTGGAAAGCTATGGAAAATGCGCAACTTTTGCGTATAGAAAGTTTTTTCTAATTCCTTACGGTTTAAATACGAATTCAAATACGGTTCAATTTGGTTTTGAACGCGGTTTTTTTTAAAAGTTTGTCAAAATGGGGCAAATAATATAACCTTGGATTTCTATCGAAAATGCGAAGCTTAGTCATGTTGAACATTTTCTCTACTTCGAAACCGTTTAAAAGTAATTTTGAATAAGGTAAAACCCATTGTGTTGTTTTTTCGTGTCTAAAAAACAGAGTACTCGTACTGACGTATGTCTATATTTGTACTGAGGTATTTTTCACAGAGTAGTTTTGAATGGTTTCAAAAAAAGAAAACTTTGAACGGATGTCTTTCTTATTTTTTACTTGCTCCCATCTTTTAAGAGTAATTTTGAAATACGGTGAGACTCATCGTGCTGTTTTTCTGTCCAAAAAAAGAGTACTCATATTGATCTATGTGTGTTTGTACTGAGGTATTTTTCAGAGTAATTTTGAATGGTTCCGAAAAAAGAGTACTTGCACTGATGTTCGTATGGTTTTGTACTGAGCATGTTTTCACATACTAGACTTCACTCTGTTTTTTGGATATTATAGTCCCCGAACTTTCATGGTTTATATCGTAGAACTGAATGATATTTTTTTCAAAAGGAAATAATTTCGTGTGTTTGTTTTTTAACTCAATTTTCTTGCAAGATGTTTTGGACTTCTCTTGTTTTGCGACTTGAACTTTTACCATTTGATTTTTCATTGGGTTTCATTTTGTTTGAGCTTTTTTCTCAAACTTAACTGGGACGTCGTGTTGAACTTACAACTTTTTTAATTGTGAACTTGATGTGTTTTTGCAATGCCAATATTTATGAGAGCAGGGCGAGGACAAAGGAAATAATTTCGTGTGTTTGTTTTTTTAACTCAATTTTTCTTGCAAGATGTTTTGGACTTCTCTTGTTTTGCAACTTGAACTTTTACCATTTGAGTTTTCATTGGGTTTCATTTTGTTTGAGCTTTTCTCTCAAACTTATATGGGACGTCGTGTTGAACTTACAACTTTTTTAATTGTGAACTTGCTGTGTTTTTGCAATGCCAATATTGAGGAGAGCAGGGCGAGGACAACGATAGAAGGAAGCTGCGTGTGGTGATCGTGGAAGCACTACAGGGCTGAGCCACAACGGTGGTTGATGGCAAGGCGGCACGACACGACATGCGGCGGAAAGGCATGGCGACGGGTGGGCAACGCACTGACATGACACTTGAGATGCGCCTGCTGGACTAACCTCCTTGTCCCATCTGGACATATTAGTTGCAGAACTTGGACGTTTTCTTGGACGTCAACTCTTGGACGTGAACGTCACATAATACCAAAACCTAACCATCTTTTGTTTTTCAAACTGATCATTGTTTTTAATTCGTACTGATCAATATTTTTGATTCAAACCATTTTTTATTCTTGCATGCACATCAAGCTGTCATGTACCTATACCTTCTTTGAAGTAGCAATCATCTCATCATATATAGAAATTTTTTCACACATATAATACATGTACATGAATAACATATACATGGTCAGATCGGTACCTAGCAGCAATAGCAGTGGTTACCAATTCACATACACATGAACCGATAACGAACTTGCACATGGCCTGACAAACAGAAAGCACATAAACTGACAAAAAAACATAGTACACATTTAACAGATAATCCCCATGATTTTATATATGAGAACAAAATGCTTCAAGTCCAGAAAGTTCATAGAGTATATCTCTTAGTTCACACACTATAATACTAGAACTACTGAGAGTTCTCCAACAATACTTTATGAACAGGTGTAGGAGTTCATCGAGTTCTTAGTCCAGGAATACTTTATGAACATGTCCAGGAGTTCATAGAGTTCTCAGTTCAAAGTTTGGTACTTAATGGTACCAAACAGTAGTACTGAGGCCAATAAGGCATTGGAGTTGTTCAGAAGTAGCCTGGGCACAACTCCGGAAAAGTTTATACAATATATCCCTCATTTTGAACTACTATCACACAAATCGGACATAACTGGACGTAGGGACTTACTTCAACCATAACTTCTATGTTGTCTCCTTTCTTTATCAAACGAACAGACTGATTGTACATAGGGTTTCGTTGGAAATAAACCGGCATGCCCTCTAGTCTGCGAGCGGGTTGGACTAGCTCCTAGGGGCCCATTCGGCGCCAGCTGCTCCCTGCATTTAATCATAAC